CTCTCCTATTGGTGTTTTAAAGTCACCACCTAGTGGACATTATCATGTATTTTATCATGTTTATTATCATGTATCATTTTTTTTTTCTTTGTGCTAAACATCTTTAATTAGAATTTTTCTAAAATACAATATAGTTTTTGGCTTGAATGTTTTGTACTGTATGAAATACCTCTTTTGCAGTTTCAAATAATGCCATCTGTGACATTTCCCTAAGTAAACTCTAAATTTGCTAATTTCAAAATCATACCATTGCAAAAATAGAATTATGGTAACATGTAAACTGTGCTTTTTATTTTAACAACAACAACAACAACAACACACTAGTGAAATACAATGTTATTCATTTTAAACTAAAAGACTAAAATGCATATGTTCTTTAGATCAGTAAAAATGTTCAGTCTAAAATCTTCAGTAATCAAAATTATGTACTATTATATATGATTAGATGCTATACAATATGTGGCAGTAATGATTCACACTTTTCATCTCTTCACCTCAGCTGTGCACCTTAATTGATATGCTGATTTTGAATTTTTTCATTACAAGGTTTTGAAAGTGTTAATTAGAATATCGACTCTGTATGTTGGGGGGAGATACTGTCTGTTTTGTAAAGTATGTCTGTTTAATCTTGTGTGCAACAAATTTTTGATATCGCTTTATTCCACAAACAAATTCCTATTCCTAATTAATCATTTCAGCTTCTCTCTCAGCTGTCAAAATCTATTCGGTAACACTTTACACAAAGGTTTTATTTGTTAATATAAGTTAACTAATTTAGTTAACATGAATTTCACCACCTGCTAAGTGTAAGTGTAGATTCACTCACTATTCAACTGACATATCCATTTCATATTTGCCAAGAATGAGACACTGAGATTCTTGTTAGCCTATACTATACATCATATACAGTAGAAACTGGGGAAAGGTATCTGTTTTCTGCTGTTAAAATGGTTTCCATCTCAGACCATGTTATGCTATGGAGCATAGAAGTAGAGAAGTTGAAAAAAATAATTGTTGGGGCTTCCCTCAAAAAGCCCACACAATCAGCATAAGTGCTGTCATGCACAAGAGCCTTGAATTAATTAATTATAGATTCAATGACTCAGTGTTTGAATGATGACCAATAGCAGGCCTGTTGGTATCTATTGGCTGTTTTTTTGTTTTTACTGCAGGCAAGGCTGTTACCAAGGCAAGGCCCAGAATATACATAATCCCTCTTACTAACTAGCCCTTTGCACTATGGAGAGTCATTCAGCATGACCTTTCCTACCAAAACTAAAACTACATGCATTTACCATGAACCACTGACTACAATATAAAATATTCTATATATTTTAGAATATGCTGTTAAATGTGGTTAATTTGTCCTATATATGTTTTTAAATTCATGCTGAGAGAACAACCTGTTATATCATCTTTAGTTGAGTCAGCTGTTTCTATACCGTCATTTAGAGCAACTGTATGTATGTTTTACCTTGAAACGTCAGTTTGAAAAACATTCAGATGTTACACTGACTTCCAATAAGGCCAATAAGTCTCTATACATTTGTAATCAAAAGTCCAGAGCTCTCAATTAAGCACCAAAATTTGCATGAAGCTCTTTTGAATTAAGTTCCTATAAAAAAAGTGAAACTGTTTGTACACCATCATCTCATTTTTATTTTTTTTTACCATGTATGGGTTGTCTCAATAAAATGTAATTATACTAAAGTCTTACTTCAACAATGAGGTGGCATTTCCCCCCGAGAGATGATGAAGATCACGGTTTCCTCAGACTTTACTCAATTAGCACTGTTAATGGGGCCCTGCATTGTTGCTTAGCAACACATGTAGCTGCTGAAGGTTTGGTCCTTCAAGCTTGTTCCAAATTTTTCTCTGACCTGTTGCTCAATTAAATCTCATTCCAAAGTGGGAACACTGGGTCTTTGTGCAGCAAGAGAGAGAAAGAAAAAAGCTTTTCAGGGAACCCTAGGGAGCAGGATGCATTTTCAACAGGGATTTAAAATGCAAACTCCTTTTTTTCCCAGCTTTTCTTTCTTGCATCAGAGAGCATTGTAGCATGATACAACTGTCAATATGTCAATAGGATTTTGGAACCTCTCTATCCTTTTTTTGGAACTGAGGCAGCGCCAGAAAATGTTTGGAAGCTACATGAACAATTCAGTTTCAACCATTTACAGTGTACAGTAAAGATGCTATAGCTGGGTTTAGATGTGTTGATAACATTTGTAATTTTGCGAATTTCTTCCTCACATAGGCTACCTTTATCCAAAACATTTATTGAAGACATCCACAAACCTGAAATCCTGCGTCTCTGATTGGCTAAAAATGACGCTGGGTTGAAGATGTAGATTAGAGATACTTTGGATTTCTGAAGATTATTTCAGTGTTATTTTTCAGTTACTAAGGACAACTCTAATGGCTTGTGTCAACGAGGCAGCAGGTGCAGCCTGCTAATCACGTGACCTGTCAGGCAAAGGTTATTCAAGCTTTTCCACGAGCAGCAGGAGATCAACATTTGTTTGTTTAGCCTCTGATGGCAGATGTTATAATTACATGGTTAAGTGGGCAAAAAGCATTTTTCTCTATTGACAGCCATTCAAAAGTATTTGTGTATTCAGACTATTTTGGCATATAAATTGTAAATTATTAGACTACTTTATGGCACTCTGTGTGCTTTTGTGTGTTGTTATAGTGTTGATACTCTTTGTTGAGTCTTTCTCATACTATAGGATGCATCTGCAGGTTTGGTTTAAATCGATTATAGGTACATATTCACTTAATCCAATGCTTTTCTTGTTCTCTGTGTTGTCCAGAATCCCATCAGTGTTTTATGAGAGAGAGAAGCCGCTCATCGGGTGAGGGACTAGTTTGAATCTTTCAGACTGAATTGCAAATTGATTCAGGCTGCTTTATTAAAGGGATAGTAAATACAAATACAAAAAAAAATTTAAATTCCTGTCATTAATTACTCACCCTCATGTTGTTTCAAACCCGCAAGACTTTTGTTCATCTTCGGAACACAAATTAAGATATTTCTGATGAAATCGGAGAGCTTTCTGACTCTCAATAGACAGTAATGCAACTGAAATGTTCCCAGGCCCAGAAATGTAGTAAGGACATCATTAAAATAGTCCATGTGACATCAGTGGTTTGAAGTGTGCATCACATGACTGCATCACTTTTTGTGTGCAAAGAAAACAAAAAGTGAACACACTAATGTTTTTAGATTTGTGGAGCAAAAATTATAGTTTTTATTTTGAAGTAAAAAGATCAAATTAGACCCTTGAGGGTAAGATGATTCAATTCAATTCATCTCCGCTTTTCATTAAAATGTATAGACTAATTGAATGAAATCATTTAATTTGCATTCATAGTGTTTCAATTATGACACATCTTTAATTAAAATATGGGCAGTTAAATATGTAAATATTCATATGCCTATATATAAGTCATAAAATAATGTACCTTTCAGATGAATCTCACAAAATAACGACTTTATTCAACAATTCTCCTCCTCTGTGTCACAGTTCGCCGCCATTCATGAGAGTGATGCAAAAATGGTTAAATAAAGTCTTATTTGATCAGAAAGTCAGAAATCTCTCGGATTTCATCAAAAATATAATTTGTGTTCCGAAGATGAACGAAGGTCTTGGAAAGACATGAGGGTGAGTAATTAATGACAGAATTTTAATTTTTAAGTGAACTAAGCCTATCCCTTTAAAATTGAAACGAACTGATTCATAAGAGTGATTCATTCGTGAATCGGGCATCGATAGTTCTAAGCGTCGAACAGAAAACACACATAAATATTACTATCAAGGGAAAATATTTCTCAAGTCGGTATACGACATTCTCCCTCTCTGTTGAAAAAACCAGCATATGCTGGTTAGGTATGTTTTGAAGCTGGGATGCTGGTTTGAGCTGGTCCTTTGCT